ATATATATATATATATATATATATATATATATATATATATATATATATATATATATATATATATGCGGAAATAGGAGATATATTGCTCTATATCTGATTTATTGTTTTACTTGTTCTATGTTTTCAAAATGTTGATTCACCAATCAAATTTGATTTACAATTTCATGACTTTCACAATTTATCCTTTTCTGTTAATCCTTTTCAAGATAAAAGTGTTCTTCAAGTATAACCAAGGTAAAATCAGATAATTTCAAAATGCTCAAATAACGCTGTGGTATTATACTGCCACAATGCTATTTGAATGGAACCAGCTTAAAAAAGTATTCTTACGTTTCCATAATGAGTCTCAATAAGTGACATCTTCTCTGGAACTTTCTTGAAATTTTCAACATCTTTCCAATTATTTGCTGTCTTCTCATAGAACAATCTACAATCAAGTATCGATGAGGCCGGATAATTAGCAGTCAATTTTGCACAAATCCGTACCTTTATTTGCAAAGATGACAGTAACCTATACTTTTCAAAAGTCATTTTTGCTTCTTCCAGATGTCCATGATATTTATCGGTTTTTGCGCCACCAATGTCTGTGCCGACACGTCCCCATGAACGGAACACATAATAGCTGAACAGTGCATAACATTTTTGAGTTTATTACCTATGAAATATACTGAGAACTCAATACCTCTCCATTACTTTTCATTGAAAAACATTTTCAATATAAAGTATTGAGGTATTAAAATATTAAAAAGTGAACTCTAACATACTTTTGCTTGACATCATGCTTTAATAGTTGCAATTTATAGAATGAGTTCGCTCCAGTTTGAAAATCCGCCTTTCCCAGCGTTGTTTCCCAAAGTTTGCCTAATGGAACGAAAAAAAATTTCAGAATTTGAAATAATTCAAGAATTTTGTACTAAACTCGACTTGGACATAATATGACATGGTGGAGATAAAGCCAAATTCAAATACGTTGATAAATAATCCTGTAGACTTGAAAGTAGAAGGAACAGATGCATTGGCAAACTAAGACCAAGTAGTCAAAAGTAGGGACCTGTTATGCAGATAGATTAAATGGAATTTCTTGAAAGGAAGTTATAATCTTGAGTTGGGAAATCTCGAGACCACCGTGAAGCATGTTGCAATAAGTAATCAGATAGTCTATTGAATTTTCAAATAGCTAGAAAATACATTAAATAAATATTTATTTTTATAGTAACAAGTTTTTTTAAAATTTAGTTCTAAATTTCTGAAGAAGCTTAAAGAAAAAACCATTTTCATCTTTCCATACATGTACAACTTCTTGAAGCGGGCATTCGACATCAACCACTGTTCCATTTTTTATAATCTGTTGTTGCATTCGAGAATCTACACAAAAGAAACAAATTTTCATGAGCTAATTCCGTTTGGTTAGTTAATAAACTAAATTTTTACCAACAAAGAAGAATAATGAATCTACCTTTAGAATCAGTATTCCCGCGTTTCATACATTTTCTGCTCATTTCACCAACCCTCTGACCCAGTACTTTCAGCGACTTTGATCTGAGAGTAAAATCTTCAGTGTTTACCAGAAGAAAAGGATACTATCGAACAAACAGAAGACGTTTCATTTATATTAGAAAAAAGTCAACCTTTGAAGCATTTACGAATTTTTAGGCATTACTGAAAAAAGCAGAAAGAACAAGAAACTCACTTAGTTGGTTTTTCATATTCTAGAGCACTATATTCCCTGTTTTTCGGATCCTGAAACTCTAAAAAAACTTCAGATCTTGTGATAACAAGTTTTCATGATAACTGGCTGTTATTCACAATCGCTTCCCTTTTTTATTTACAAGCCTTTCTTCCTTTTTTTTGCGAAGAAACATAACGGCGAACATTAAATCTTGTGTATTCATAAAATATGAATGTGATATTTCTTCGCAAATAAAAGAATCCATTTTACCTTGGCTTTAAAATTCTTAAATTCACAAATACTTCTTTTCATCCCATCAGGAACAACAAACGGTTTCCGAGGCGGGTTGCGACATGTATACATACACCGTGTATATTCGGAAAGATAACCGGTACAAACATAACTTTTTTGTGATGAGCTAAAAAGAAAAAAACAAACTAGGACAAATTAGAAATAATTTAAAAGATTGAAACATGTCGGCAATTTCAATTAAAACAGTAGTACGCTGTATCTATTGCAAACAATAATTCCGAGATAAATCACAACTAGTTTAATAACTAACAAACATTACTGCTTCCTTATGGCAAAATTATACTCAACGGTAACTTCCAAATTCACAGGTTTAAAAAACAAATGGGAAAGACATACGCAAAAAAGTAGCAAGGCAAAGAAAGTGCCATATCCTTCTAGTAAGTGCGACATTCATTTACTTAAATAACCTAACCAAATAGTACAGAAAAAGTTTGCTTGTTTTTTTTTTTTAACTAAAAAATAATCCCCTTACTTTTAACAGTAAACTAGTTGAAGAATTTACCTGTAAACAATGTTACCTTCTTTACACTGCTTACAAGGGAGCGGACAGCCAAAAACTATACAATCAACAAGACGATCAAGCAGCTACAAAAGAACGAGTAAAAACAGAAGTTTTGTGAAATGTTTTCCCTATAAGTATCTCAAGAGAATGAGAATTAATGGCCAGTAACGTAATGTGCTGCGTATTACTATGAAGATATAATTTTTGAACACTTACCTGTACTTTTGAATCTAGTCACAGTAACTAGATAGCAAGATGAAATTTTCTATAGGTTTGAAGAGCAAAGCGGAGCGTATTCTAAGTAAAATTTTGTCAGAGAAATATTACGTTGAAATTAATGAACAATCCTACGAGATGAGAAGTAAAAAGAACCGATTCACCTTCGTTTCCCCACCGTGTTTAGGAAGTGCCTGGTTATTGGCTTGTAACAAAATCTGAATATCGTTTTTATTCAGACATTTTGATAATTTTTTCCTCACTGACCACATTTCGTCTGCTTGTGCCTACAAAAATTCAAATTTTGCAAGAAAATTTATTTTAAATACTGTATTCCTGAGAAAAGTTCCTTAAGCTACCTTAAGACGTCCCATCTTCTCCTCTGTATCGATTTGTTCGATCTTTGCCTTTTTGGCTACATTGTCGTTGATTTTTGTCAACTTTCTCTTTATACTGGTCTCTGCTTGCTTATTAAACATCGTTTTCAAGATATCTTGGTCAGATTTTGACAAATTTTGGAAACCAACAATTCTGAAACTTTCTCATAATAATTGAAAAAGATACAGAAAATGAAGAGGAGCAGGTTATTTAATTTTGAAAGTTTTCAAGAAAGAATAAAAACTTTGTTGTGGAATTTATAAAGGCCTCTGGTTTAATCCAACTATTTGAAATTCCAATATCCAATATCTGCTACGAACTTTTCAGCACAGCTGGTATACGGCTCTATTTTCTCAAAACAGTTTACGTGATACCATGCCGATTTCATCCCAAGTCTGAGAGTATTCTGCAAGTATTTTAGTCATATTCTCCAGAAATAAAGAACTTAATATTAAATTAACACTAACGGCAGCATATTAATATTAAATTAACACTAACGGCAGCATATTCTTCAAGGCGATAAATGAAGCACTGAAAAAAATGATTAAATACCGATATTGATGGAAATCAACAATTTTTACGCATTACGAGAACCTTCTTGATGTTTCCTTTGCAATTCAAACATTTGCTACGGCCAGTTACAGCATATTCAGAGATAAGCATAACAGAGATCTCTCTTACATTAGATGTTCCAGCTAAATGATAAATAATTCATTTAACTTGCAAGGTTTCATCTCTTTGGTTGGCTCCACTGATGTCCTAACTGGACGACAAAAACAAAGACCTTTTCATTACCATTGAAAGTATAACATAGTCTAAAGAAATATGAAATGTGAAAAACAACAGTTAAACTGTACTATTTTCTATCAAAACAGCAATTAAAAATAATGCTGAAAACCTTAATCAGAATATGCTTCAACTTCTTTCGCTGGTTTCATAGGGGAAAATATGCTTTAAATAAAACCTTGATTTTCGTTTATTTTTTTACGAATTTGTTCTTGATCACTCCACTTTAGAAGCTCCATACCACGTATAGAGGCTTCGCTTACATCATCTGGCTTTACTTTTTTCCAGAAACAAGTAAAATGGAACCTAGAAAAAAAAATTTGGCGAAAATTCTACTAAAATAGAAATCAGCTGTATATCGAACCTCAAAATTATACCAGTTGTCTTGTAGGCCATCAAAAAAATGACTTGGTTTCCGTAAAGACATACGAAGCGAATCCTGAAACTTTTATATGAGGTTTTTTTTTAGGAAACACCTGCTAGAAATAACATATCAATTGCATGCATTATCTGATTATTGATGAAAGCATCATTAACATTTTGATTCTTTCTATTCTTCCTGAATAAAATCTGAAACATAGTTACCCAAAATATAATTTCCTCCCAATTAAAATGCCACCTTATCTATCTAATTGCTTATATTTAGTGCCTTTTTTCTAGCTTAATAACAAAATCATTAAATAAGCTATGGTTATTTAATAGGGACAATAAAATTTCCAAAGAAATCTCTAATCTTTACTACTAGAAATGAATTACTAGTTGAATTCAAGTAAATTTACTTGCGAAATTAAACCGTGACATCCTTTGCAACTAGCACGATTACTTTTAGCATATTCAGCACCGTAAGGTAAATCTTTTGCAGATGACGCCATCTGTTAGAACGAAGGAACGACTCTCCGTCCGAAATGAGAAATATGCACCCTTCCGAATTCGCCGTCGGATGATTATCTCATGCCGAAAAATACTTGGAAAATGGTTCGTTACGTTGGTCGTATCGCTGCGAAACGATATCCACTCATTTACGATAATGTCACTGACCTTTCGAGGAAGTTGGGGTCAAATAGCGGGAGGGAGGGGGGTTGCTTGTTATATTTCCTGCCAGAAATTAAACATTTATCAGTGAATTGCGAAATTCAAATTCCAATTTCTTGAAATGAAGTGAAATTTAAATTAACAAAACACTTCTTTAAATGGAAGACTGAACATACCTGAAGCAGTGCAATCTGTTCCGAAACAAATTGTTAAGGACATGTTTGAGTCAATTTGGGATAGACAATCCAGAGAGAATGTTTTGCGAAGGGCGACCTTGTCGGCGAAGATAAAAAATAGACTCAGGCTTACATGTCTCTGACAATCCGTATCTCAGCACCTTTCCGCACATCACATATCACATAGTAAAATTCATTTACCATTTCAAATTAAAAATGAAACTTCCATTTGGCAAAGCACATTTCAGATGAAACATAAATTTTATTACATGTCTTTTTGCACATAATTTCCAACCAACAATGAGCGACAAGGACAATTCCCTGCTATCCAGTTCACTTCTCTGACCTATGTCAGAAAAAAGCGCTTGATTGAAGTGATTTACATTGCATTCGCTCTTACTGTCTTTCCTAGTTTCTTATTGCCGTCACTCCTCCTATTCCGTTATTGTTTTGAGCTAATCAGTTCAGATTAGTAAAATATTCCAATAAATTTAATTTGTCAGTTACCGTTCAAGATGGACTATTCAGAGCGAAATTAAATTTGCATTTGGTTTCACTCCGACTATCATATTTATTTAGATTTTTTAAAATTACAACTTCCCTGTTAAGCTGTGCTCAACCTCAGTAAACTAGAGAATCGAGCATGACAAGTTTGTTGACATCGCTTAACTTCTCTAGGAATAAAATGGTTCGGCATCATCTCATAAGACCGGATTTTTTAATGATTTCCTTCTATAAAATTTACAGTAAGCGAATCTTTTGCTATGCTCAACAAAACTGATACCATCAATATATGCCTTTCAGTCTTCGGGTTTTAGTACTTTAGCCGTGCTTTCAATTTATATCAGTAAATGGTAAAGTTGAAATAATAAAGCCGTCCTATCTCAAAAAATCACTTCAATAAGTCTGTTTGTAAAATACTATTGTAAAGCAAAGCAAAAACAAGGATAAGAAGGCGCGGAAATTTTCAAAATGTTAAAAATGATCATTTTAAGAATTTACATAGATTGCTGTTCGCTTCTTTTACGTCATTTTTTTCTATGAGTAACTTTTTCCAGTTGTAATCTGGAATCTGTTAAAGCAAAATAAGACTTTTCTTTACCACCTGCTCCAACCCTTCTGGATAAATGTGTAAAGCATACATCCTCTACTATTTTTCATTAACTTCAATAAAAAAAAAAAAAAAACTGTAAGCAGATAACCTTCTTGATACGTTCAATCTAAACAACCAATTAAAATATTATATTTCTTGGCTAGCTTTAATTTCAAAAATAAAATCTTGCTTATTATTCATCAATAAGTTATCGCCCATTTAATCGTTTTAATTCTCATTTTTGCAGAACCTTGACTAATATAATCTTTTTCATTACTATTACTGTGGATTGCCCTTTGTACATCAATGCAAATTAGTGGGATGTTTAGACGAACATAGAAAAGATAATTATTTATTTAAGCATCATGGGACAGTGACATATAGTAATGAAATGTAAGATGATATTTGTTATTGGTTTACATTATCAATTTTTTTCTTACTTTCTTCTCTCTTTTTTCAGGTATATTTATCACTCCTATTTCTCTTTCTGATCTGTTTTTACAAACTCTTCTTGTTTCTGTGTTATGAAATTTGACAGAAATTCAGAGAGTGTCCATAACAGCCCAAAAAAAAGTGTAACAAACCTTACGATAAATGCTATTAGCATCCCTCCGATCAAATCAGTTAGTTATAGCAAATACAGAGAGCAAAACACAATAACCGAATCTATCGAGTTTTATTTGCGAAATTAAAATTGTGTCTATACAAATCAGAATGTCTGATCATTCCTTCACATGTCTCAACTGCTTTCCCTCATTATCACTTGCTATTATCACCTGCAACATATTTTGAAAGAAAATTATCCAAGAATATTTCTAAAAATACTAATTTTATAATAAAACTCAGGTGATAACTGGAAAATTTTTTCAAAATGACATCACTGAGAACCTCATCCGATTGCACAATACTGACCATTCAATTTGTCCAAAAAAAAGTTCATGACATCGTCTATTATATCATTGCGTTTAATTTACTTGCTTTCAAACTGTTCTGTTAGTAATATTATGAGACAACTCTGTTTTTTTTCAATGGATCTGTTTGGTATTATTTGCAATTTAATTTTGTTCTAAAAAGTGTAATATTTCTGTTGAATTGCATTCGAAATAAGCTCAATCGCTGAATTGTAGTTTGAACTAATGGTTTATTTCATTCTTCCGGATCAGATTTTGAAAGATGTCCGCTAACTTACATTTTGCCTTTCACCTGGTGCAATTTTCACAGTTTTGCCGCGATCGGATCCTCCTCCTTTACCAATACCTTTTTTCATTATTCCAGGCTGGAGATATAGAATGTTTGTTCAAACTTTATCGATAGCGAGCACAGTATTTGAACTAATTGAAGAAGAAATGAACCTTTGACAATTAAAAATTTTTTTTTGAAATTTAACCTTCTTAATTTCCATTGGCAGTTCCATCATTTTTTGCTGCTGGCGGGCCGCTATTTCCCGAACATCAGATGCCATTGCAATTGATGGCGGTTGCATTTGAGATGCACTGATGGCATCATCCGCCCACTCCTTCGCTTTTCCGGATACCGGACGTTCAATGCACATATTAACAAAATTCTTCTTCTAAAACCGAAACATAAGGCACAGCACCTATTTCTGTTCTTTCTTTGTGGTAATTCATTTAAGAGACGACAGCGATGAATTGTTTAGCAAGCATACAAAATGTATAATTTTACATTCAAGTTTTTCATCTAATCTGCTGGGAAATCAATGTGAATTATCAGGAATCACAAATCTTAAGAGCTCGAACAAGCAAACTTCTTGCAACTTCTTTATCGGTTACTTTTATACCATTAATGTCAATGATGTGATCTTTCTCTTGAAGTGACTGTGCTGCCAACGAACCTAAATTTGTCTTTCATCATTTCCTACTCACAACGAGTAGTATATTCTTACAGAAATACTATGTTACAGAAATACTATGTAATCACGCAATAAGAACTTCAAAAAAATTGATCGCATTGACAAGAGACTTTGCAATATGACATAAATATAAATGGTTACAACGGTGAATAGGATTAAGTTCTTTTTCTATGAAACTTTTAATGGATCCTGTTGGGAGTTAATAACTGTTTCCCTTAATTTTTATTTTATTTCATCTCGAAGTATTCCACTGGAACAAAAAAGAAAGTTAACTTTTCAATTTTAGAATAAATGAAATATTGATTTGGTTATCTCAGAATTGTATATGGAAATAGAACCTGGATCAATACGTGATACGATTACGTTATTCTGAAAATGCTTAATACCAAGGCCAAATTTACACCCTTTTACATAATTAATTTGGACATAATGATATGTGAAGCCTTCACGACGTTTAAATAAACTTTCACACTGTTCTGGAATATTATTCTGAGTCGTCTGAAAACATCTTTACTGATGTTACTAGCAAGATCCAAGCAATAACATGAATCGTTTTTTCTGTATTTAGTAGAGCGCTTCTTGACGTAATAAATAAATTCAAAGAACTGCAATAAGCTCGTAATAACAATTACACTTTGCAGCCCACGATCGAATACAATTCGAACTGTTCCACCAGCTGCTTCAATTGCATTTCTGGCCTCATCAACTGTTTGAACTGTACGATCCCCAATCTCAAATTATCTCATTAATTTCATTTATATCTGTTATATATTTTTTGTTTATCGTTTCTTGTAGATGTTGTTACGTAGATGGATCTCAGTTTTCCTTTTTAAATTTTCCACAGTAACCTCACGGTGGACATAAACAGTAGGGAATGGCGAGGACACGCAAAATTGACTGTTGCGATTACAAAAGGAGTGCTCTGCTGTTTAATTTTTCAAAGTCTTAAAATAAAACTAAATATACTTGAATGATGTGATCGCCAGGTAACAATTTACCATCGCAGGGACCTTGCTTAGTTATTTCAATAACGCGTAAATTTTCGTCAACACGCATCCCCAAACTTTCGTTATTTATTTCAATGATCACCTCCTCATGTCTTTCTTTTTCTTCTGACGATTGCAAGCTGCAAGTGCAGAAAAGGAACGAAAGACGCGAAGTCTTCCTGCAGTCATTTCATAAGGGGATATTAATTGTCAAGTTGCTGTTCAGAAGTAAAAAAATAATTGGGGAAAATGCTTTGTCCATTGACTTATTCATTTAAAATTATCAATTTGTTAACTTTAAAAGGGAAAAGATATCTTCAAGATTTTTCAGTTGCTTTGGAAGGTTTAGTGTTTGCAATGCGGACACAATTGTCATGATTTAAGAATGTTGAGAAAACTTAAGGCGGTAAGTGCGACACTATCAATTGACAGAACTTTACGTTCTAGAATTTTATCTGATTGTGAAAAAGATTACGTGAACATCGCTAAATATTTTAGCACAACCGTTTAAATTATTTTAAAAAAATCATTGAAAGGAAAAGAAAACGAACTCATTCTTTATAGAGTGGTCCTCTTCATAAAATGAAGTGGAAATTTGCATAAAAACATCAAAAATATGGCATTCAATTGACAAAATAAGAATACCTTGACCTTCCTTACTAATCACTGGAAGAAATTCGGTTAGCAAAAATCAGCAAGTAAATAATCTTGATCTTATCGATGAGAATGAGTCCGTCAACGCATCGACATTGCCTATCTTCCTTTAGTTAGATAGCTAAATGACAAAATAACCTTCTAGTCTAGTATTCATATATAGTAAACAGTACATATTGTTAGCATTCACCAAGCCGCGAAAAGTTTATTCAACAGTAAAACGTGGTATCTCCATAACCATTTCAAATGTACGATCTTCGTGTCCTCGTGAAGGAATGCGGAGAAGGTAAAGTAGTCTTAATGCATTTTCATCCTTCATGAGGTTCCGGCAGTTCATTTCGATTAACAAACATCAATTTCCACATATAGTTATCGCTCATCGAGAAGAAATACAAGTCCTGATTGAGGTCTTCAACAAATTTGATAATATTCTTACGCTGAAGTACCGCACAAGCTAACAGCATCGATAAACCGAAGCTAATAAACAAGCTGCCACATATGCGGAAGGGTTGCTCTGACTGCTGTAAATATTTATCGCTTAAATAATAATAAGTATCTTATGCAAATAACAAATAGTATTCAGGAGAGAAAATGAGAAGTGGGAAACGCTTTTTGTTTAAATAGTGATGAAGAATTTGCCAGGGTACAATTATATTGGATATGTAGTTGGATACTTACTTTATCTGCTGGATCAGATTATTGCATCCAGTTAATGGGAAAATTAATGGACAAGATAAAAGTGAGAATACAAACCTGGCATAACACGATAATGCCACTTAGAACAAGTGTTATACCAACGACAAATAATCCGGCAACAGTAAGCACTGTAGCTGGTGAGCTCGGTGTTTTCTTTTGTATCATTGCCTGCAAAAAAACCGGTCTAAATCATTATATAATTAATTTTTTGGAGAAATAAAGCATAATAAGAAATGATCAAATGATGCTTCGCTTACATGTCATCCACTAGTAAAGACAGTAATTTTGGAAATTTTATAATATTTTCCAGAGGAAGAGCGATCGATAGCTCACTTAAGCAATATTTCAGATAAAAATATAAAAATGAGAAGTCGAACCAGGAATTATAAGGCGATATGGCTTTCGACAGTACCATGTTGATGTCAAGTCTTCTTTATATAGAATATGTTGCTGGATAGTTAGAATCAAAGTCTATACACTTATGCTTGAATAACTATCCGTCAATTAATCGATTTTTATTAAAATATCGCAACTCTTTCTGCTCATATCCGTGAATAATTAAAAAGTGCCAAAAAGCACTAAATAATAATAAAAAACTGTTATTAATTTAAATACCATAACGCAGTAACCATAACCCCCTCATTAATAACCCCCTCATTAATCTGAGATTACTTTGAATCAGTTTACCTTTGTAGGAGATTTTCCTATAGATAATGATACCATGCTCACAAAAACGTGCAATTTCCAACTGAGAAATTAGTCGTAGAAGTAACCTTGTCGAAAACAGGTGTAATAATGAATTGAAGCGAATCGTTTCGCTGTACTGAATAATGTTTCTTGGGTACTGTTAGACGAAGATTAAATCCACCTGGTGATGGCACTTTCTAAATTCCTTGAAGCATTTTTATCTCCTTGTATTTTGGCATGCGACACTAACACTGTCATATACAAACAGTATAAACAACTACGAAAGCAAATTTACTTCAGTTTCTGGCTAATCTGCTAAAAAATCTCATGGAAACTTTAATTTTTTTGATGAAAATCTCACGTTTGAATCTTGCGCTGATTCAGAATGCAGCTGTATTGCCATTCTATTTCGTGGTCTTAGATTCTCTGGTACTGAATCGAACGACCGTAATGGTAGAATCAAGGATGATCCGATACAACAGTTTGAAATTTGAAACACTTATGACACTGTATTGATAAAACATAATATCAATCTGTGTATATCGTATTTACATTAGTAAATTTTCCTGACATAGACGACGCTTCCAATATAGAACTCCGTTATTTGCTTCTACTCATCAAAATATGTGTCATGATTAACAGAACCGAAGTGTATCCGCTACAGATGGTTGTTTAATGCGAACAGTATTACCTCCATGCTGATCTATGCCAAGAAGAAAGGAGATGAAACAAAACTTACATGAGGGATCATTCCAGACCAGGGACACAATTTCATCAAAGTGTGAAAAGAAATTTAGCAGAGAAATGTTTGCCAATCGATTAATTCGTATGAAATGAGATGGATTCAAAAGAAATATTGATAATTAATTAATCGATTGATTGACTGGTTACATTACTGATTCGAAAGTTAGTGACAAAATGTGACCCTTAACAGTCCTGTTGAAGATTGCATAAACACTCTTTCTGACAGATGGAAGTCATACCATATTTGTTTGTTTTTCAGTGTTCTTAACCACCTGTTCTACCTTTCCTCGTGATACGTCGTGACAGTTGCACAGCACAACCATACTTATTTTAATAGCATTTCTCGTGAAGACGGAAGATATTTCATATTTATCAAACAGCTATGAAAGATTCAAAATATTGTTCCATAATCCGTTAGGTGCAACTATTCACGCTGTTTCTTACGCTTAAATATATTGTCTCGCCAACCTGATGGTTGAAGAGGCTAACAGTTAATAGTCAACAGCTGCTAATCTTTCTTCTATCTCTTTGGTGTCTTTCTGTAAACACGGAAAATTTATCTTAAAACATGGAATTTGTTATTACATCTGTATCAATGGATAGATTGAAATCCAATATTTGTGGATAGATTTTTCTTTCAAAAATTTCGGATCAACTATTTATAAAATAATAGCTTTATTCAGATTTAAAATTCCTTAAAAACCTTGGAAAAGTTTTATTGGACAATGAATATGTGGACGTCATCAACGCATACTTCTGCTACTCGTTTGTACTTTTTTGACTGGATAGAACTTATTCCTTTAATGGAACTCACTCCGTGCGTAATTCAGCGTTAGCTTCGGAATGTTCATAGAAGGCTGAAAAAACTGCGTTGTTCTGAAATTGTTAGCAATATAGACATATGCGGAAAAAAGAAACCGTACGGTGCTTTAATTTGCGGAAAGAAGTTTTAAAATGAAGTCGTTTCTTCAAAAACTTTCACATTTTTTACAATTCCAGAACCATTATTGATTATATTCTTGTAACTAAAACTGGTCATTTTCACGGAATGTATTTGGTACTTTTATTCTATCATTTGCAGACAACCACTAAATTTTTTTAAAACTTTGTTCAGTGGATGTGAGTACAAACGTTTTCTGCACTCAGTTTCGTATCTTCTTCGTTACCTGATTGTTGACCTATGAATTGTTTTTCAAACTATTTGAAAAAAAAGAAGTGTAGGATAGAGTAGAAACCTTTAAATGACTGTTTTTTTTTCCAAATAGGTATCATTTATTTGTTGTATCACTTGTTTATTTCAATACTATAGGTGACATCTGCTTACTTCGATGCCGGCAGAAAGACTACTGGTAATGGTAAATTTATCAATTTATGAAAGAATGAAAATCGATTTCTTATTTAATAATGAAGAGTTGAGAATTACAGCAGTGCTATCCATCCGACATCAAAATTTTTTGAAATTGCTATGAAAAAATCAATCAAAAATTCAGTGCAAAGGTCTAAACTAAATTACAGTACTTCATTTGAAGGATGATGGATAGATTCCATAAACGGATAATGAGAATACATTCCAAAAGTTGAGATGCTTCAATCTGATGACAAGGAGGTGATTGCAACTAGTAGTTGCACCATTTCAATTGAGTTTGCCTCACTGTTATTTTTCAAAATTGCGATATTTATCTTTGGAAGCCATGCAAGAAATTCTCAAGAAGCGATAGCTACTGCTGCTTTTACTTTTTTAATTAATTTTTCTTGGTTGATACAAGATTTAAATTTCAAATTAATTCTAACAGAGCTAGCTAGTCATAATATTTTGACGGCTAACTTGATAAATCAAAATATTCCTTTTGTCATCATCAAGACAACTACGGGTGTTGGAGCTGCTTGATGCATGTCCATTGATTCCCTCATATGACGCTTCTATATTTTTATACTGCAATGACTTGAATTGAATCAAAAACTTATCCTGGTTCAGTGGAAGATGAAGAGATATTACCATGTCACTCCATTATTGTGGAAAACTCAGCGTAACTCGAGTACAGGTATCATACTAATAAGTATTGCAAAGTATGGAGCAATTTTTTTCTTTAAACTGATAGAAAAACGCAACCTTTGGTCGTAATGTATCGTCAAATTGAGCATTTATATATTTATTGCACAAAAAACAAAGTTCACTGGCACTGCTAACGTTTAATGTCTCAAGGTGGTTGCAACTTGATCAAAGTTTGTGCGACTCTTTTAAATACACGTTATTTCCACCTCATTGAATGTTATATACGAAGACAAATAACAAATGATAAAGAAATGGCATTTGTAAATATATTAATTAATATCTTCAAAAACAATATTCCAAAACTGTCTTCTATCGGTAACCATCTCTTAACGAACAGCACAACAAAAAGAAAGAAAGTAAAGTTGCATTGGAAGTGAATCGATTGTTAACTAAAGATAATTGAAAAAATTTTTAAGAAATTTTTCAATAATGTTGAAACTTCCAAAAGAGACGATGTTAGTTATCACTTTTTTTTCGAAGGAAATTGTCTGGAACCTGGTCCTACACTTTTAAATTTCAGGAGTTCCTGCAGGTGGAAAGGAATTTACTAAAACATAATCAAATTTTGATGTGAATTACGAACAAATATATGGAGAAAAAGTAGTAATGTATCACCATTTCTCCCAATCATCTCCTGGTACCATCTTCAAAGAAAACACCACCATCAATAGCGCAATATTTAGGACAAATGCCTTTTTCTCCTGGTGTTCCTGGAGGTCCAGCTGGTCCGGGAGGTCCAGGTTGCCCATCAACACCTGGTGGTCCATCTGGGCCTGGAGATCCTTTTGGTCCTGCTGGACCAGGGGCTCCATCTGCACCTGGTGCTCCAGGTGGTCCTGGCGGACCGGGTGGTCCAGGATCACCGGGTTCACCTGGCTCCCCTGGTGTAAGTGGTTCACTCTGTGCTGGAATGCCAGGCTCACCAGGCGGCCCTGGTGGTCCTTGTTCACCTTGTGGTCCTGGAGGACCCCGTGGGCCGGGACTTCCTGGACTTGCATCCATACCTGGCCGGCCGGGTGTCCCAGCATCTCCAGGATCTCCCGGTGCTCCTGGTGGCCCTGGCGGTCCAGGTGGTCCTAGAAAAACGAGCATTAGGGAGAGAATGATATACTCTCTATAGAAATTGCAATTTTCAATTGAACTGCCCAAAGATAAAACAGAAATGAATGTAGCTAGGAGTGCAGCTAAGGCATAACAAAGACTCTCAAATCCATCAGAAGTTCAAGATACTAGTCCTAGAATTCCTAGAAATTCTGGATGGTTTGAGCAGTTTAATAAGCTAACTGTGTCACAATACTTTATTTGCAAGTTTAAAAAACGGCACCTTGGGGACATGGTTTACACGGAGGGGGTGTCATAGGTTCGCAGGGAGCAGTTGGTGGTTTGCCTGGCATTCCAGGATTTCCAGGTACGCCTGGTCTTCCAGATTTTCCTGGCTTGCCTGCAGGACCCGGTGGGCCTGGTGGCCCCGGAATGCAACAACCTTCGCAGTGTACATTTGCTACGGGGTTCACCTCAGCATAACCTGATTGACGTGCTGTTCTGTTATTAGATCTGGAAGCTTCAGGTGCTTTCTTCATGTAATTCACTTCAGTGTATATATCATTCGCTGAACCCTGAAATTTCGATAATTCGATTCTTTCAAATGTAGTGTCTCATTCATTTGTGATCTAAGCTAGAAATAAAAGCTAAGTTTAATATTAACAGTTATATTAACAATCATATAATAATAACTTGATAACGTTTCAATGAAAAATCATCGTTTGTTCAAAGAACTGATGGGAAAGGAACGAAACGATACTCACTGCTTATGCCATTATTTTATCGAGCAACGCCTCACTCAGTTGTGACCCTTCAATAGAAGATCATTTATCAGCAGCTTAATTAAGCGTTCGAAAGGTCAATCAGGTAGCAGATGGAGTGCAGAAAGTGCAGGTGGATTAATTATATAGACGTGCACCAATCAGAGAGGTGAAGCAAATGAAGATTTTTGCTAACTTTTTCTTTACAATTTCTCTTTTTAAGAAGCACTGTAATCGCAACGATGTTCAAAAGTGAGATAGAAGCATTTAGCAAGCTAATATGGAACATCGCCCAGTTGTTCGATACTAGCATTGCAATTTGACCTATCTCCTGGCTTTCCTATCGATTAATATGTGAACAAGTCAAGGATAACTGAAGAGTCATTTTACTTCAAAAAGTTGTTGGAATCTTTGAAGTGGAATGCGCACAGAATTTTGATCTTAATACATGTTACTTGATACGTGATTTCCAGTCAAGTATTCATTGTTTTTTCTGATCGACAACTTCGAAAAATTTATAATAGTTCATGAGGTTTAGCAATTGTTCGGTACTATAATTTGTGACTAATTAATTGAAGTGAATGAATAGTCATTAATTGGCAATTAAACAGCCTAATGAGGACTTTACAAATTCGTTAATGAATTCTATCTGAAATTTTGACCATCCTGCATGTTTTAATTTTTTTGTTTTAATTTTCTCTGCCTCTCCCCATCCCACAACAGTGATGGCTTTCTAGACTCATACTAATTCGGAATTTCGGATTGAAACAAGGAGTGACAGAGAAGAAAGCAACTGATCCATGTTTAAAGATATCAGCTAAAAAATCCTGCTTCTTCGTCTTGACTTAATTAAAATTTACACGATAAGTATCTGTCTTTCACCAGTGTTATGTTACCAGATCGGGTTATTACAGTGGACGGATATTTCAGATTTCAGCTGAATTGATAAATCGAGAAATATTTACGATTAAGTTGTTTGTTTTTCCAATAAGAGAATAAGAGAAATCATTAAATTACTGGGAAACAGAAGAGTTTGATTTTGACCTCTACGTAAGGAAATGATTAAAGACTTAAATATCTGCCACGAATGAAACCTAGGACTTATTAGAAGTCACAGGAAACTTCAGTAATTACCTGGTAAATATCTTTCTTCATCTGAAGTCATATTTTGGTTCTTTCAACGAGGGAGGAAATTGAAAGAAAATGTGTGGCTGCAACAAAAATTCAGAAATATGTATTTACGAGAAGTGACTAAACGTTTACATGTTGAAGTAATGAAGTTTGATTTGAGGCTTATCAATCATAATTGTAAACTGCTTAATCATTCGAATGTTGTCAACATCGTTGACAACATCCATCCTTTTTTCATCTTTGCTCTGCTTTTGCCCAAGAACAAATGCCGATTTTTGACCCAAATTTCATTATCCACAGCGGCTACGATCAGAAAATTCGATGACCTGATTCAGTATGTGCTGTGGTGCAGAAAAGAAATGAGAATTCTTGTATCACCTTAAATTGTCCTGATTGACAAGTTCCTGATAACTGGATTTTATGATTAATGATAGGTTATAATGTTAATGATGCTAATTATTGGATTTATACATGTAAAGATTTCGAATTGTTCCAGATAAGTTTTTTGGAGCTTCAAGTAGACCAAAAAGGTACAAAATGCCTGTGGCTAGCCATTTGACTTGAATGTTATCAGTGAATGTTTTACCTTACAATGACCTTTCCTCAAAGATACTCGAAGTATTAGCAATACATAACTAATTGACAAAAAAGATTAAAATGATATGAGTTCAAGCAATTGATTAATTTACTACTTGTGCAAAACGTATCCACAGAGTATCAAATTTAGAATACATGGAAAGATGCCGAAATTTCAGAAAATATTATTAATAACATTACAGTACCTATTCTGGAAGTGTTTTGCGATGTTCCGGAAACTGCACTTTTCGGAAAAAAAACATCAGAAAAGAGAAAATAAGAAAAAATATACAAAACATTTGAAAATGTCTATCCAAAAAATTGAAAATGTTTTTTTTTATGAATACTATGAATCCACATTTATGAATCTACCATACTTTTTTTTTATTTTTTATGAAGCACAATTCCCGAGAAATCTCAAGAACTATTGATTTTGTTAAAGAAATTGTAGCTAATGACTTTGAACCATTATTCTATTTTATTTGACTTCTCGAAATCCTTTTAATTTATTTCCAAGTGTTACACGAAATTACCTTGCAATAATTAATTTCATGATGCATTTGTCGTCTTACATGTGCCACATAATTATAAACCATCGGTAACGATATGACGACAGATAATACTGCGACAATGGAAAATGATACAGCAGAATATGCAACAAATTTATAGGCTTTTATACGGCCATCCGACTCCATTGTCACCGCTGGAATTAAGATGAACAAAGTTCTGGATACTGCCGCTGAACGATTTCAGTAAATAAAACTGCAATGTTCCGGATTGTGAAGGACTGGAAAGATAGGTATGGCAACGGATCACTAATTAAAAGACCGAGAGTTGAGGAACTGATTAGCCGCCAGTGTTAGGTGTAGTTTTGGAATGAATAAACTGACTGGTACCTTGAAATAATAAACGATTCTTTTCTATTCGAAATAAAAGAAATGTATACGTATGAATCCAACCGATTACATATGCTGTGTCATCATGCACATGCATACGACTTAAACCGTTTAAATAGGCCTTCGTGGATCGGAATGTCTACTCCTCCCCTCTGAAAACCCTTTTCTCCGACCCATATCTATCTCCTCATCCTACATATCATCGATCTTTTCGGCATGATAAGACAATAGACTGATGATAATTATTTGGGATGAGAATCATCGGAAGACATATGTCCATATCTTTTATCTTTATTTCTACTCATTTTTTTTTCTCTTGTACAGTGATGTGAAATGAATGAATGGTAGTTACTCCCGATAGAAATAAATGAAACTACTATCACTTCCACACAGAGATCACTACAATAGCCTCATCCTTCAGTCTCTCTAGCTAAACTATACTGAACTAAACTATCATGTTGAACAATGCCAAAAATGCACATTAAACTTGCTGTAACTGCAAGCGTGCATTTTGTCAGCAGTTTATGGATTGAAGAAAAATTAAATTATAAAGCGGATATGTTTTATGAATACAAAAATATTAAATGTTGTACTTAATAGCCTTGAATTAATTAAAACTTGCAATAGCTAAACATAGATATCACCCATAAAGTTTGTATATTTTATGTAATTTATTATGCAAATATTTCAGTGCATGACAGATATCATAACCTACTCAGAATTTCATGATATTTTATAGATTCATTTTAAGTCACTTAAATATCTTCTTGAACACATTTGAACCTGAAATGAGACCGAAAAGTTTTTCGATCAGATTTCTTTGATAGCCAGTTTGATTGATTTGTAAAGTTTTTCAAATGATAATTTCTTTCCCGTTGAGCGGTTCACGTATATGAAGGAATCATCATCCATTGACAGTAAAGAATTTGTGACAGACCGCTGTGAGACATACTGAAGGGAAAAATTTGTGAATTACAAAACAATTTGAAAAGAACGGCTGGAATAACTGTTACATGTTTCATTACAGAAGGAATGGGATGATGTCCCAAATGTCTCTCTCCTGTTGTCTTCTCACTCTTCTCACGACAAATTCTTTTTTGTTGGTTTGTATATCTTTCTTATTAGAAATTCTTTATCTATGCGTTTAAACTTCAGTGAAGTTTGTCAATTTTAAAAAGTTCATGGTAATAAGCTTTGATTCATTCAACTCTTTTCAAAGTTGTGGTATGATACTGAAGATTTTTGTTGACCAAAAAATCTTGGATAAGATGATAAGATAGTGATCCTTCCGATTTATCGAAAATGGTACTAACCACAAAATTTGTTTTGATCTCCTTAAATCTGGAACATTTGCGATGGGTGGGAAAGATGCACTGCAAAGGATAGAGCCAAGGATCAAAAGTGAAGATTGGGTATAATGAGATTAATTCTCATAAAGAAGGACGGAAAGGAAGAGAGAAGGAAAAATCATTTCTCTCCTATTATTTTCGAAATTAATCAACTCATCTTTTCGAATCGATGATTCTTAAATAGAATTTTGAACTCGCTAAAGGTGAGAACAGAAAAGCTCTGCTTCCATGTATTGCTTGCATTTTTATACCATTAAAGCTTAACAACTTCTATGATGTCGTCAGGCAAGAGGAATTTAAAATCAATAATTGATGTAGCATCAAAAGGACTTTAATCGACATTTGAACATACAGATTTAACTTAAAAATTTAGATCTGAAGAATTCATTTCGGGAGATCTATGACGAGAATACCTGTTTGCTTTAGCGTCTCTTAAAAATCAACTTTTCTTAAAAACCTTGCAATTCAATCCTTATGCAATTCTGTTCAATACAAATCGTAGGAAGCCGAATCCCATTCGTGCATATCAATTTTCTAAAAGCGATTGACGAAATCAACCTATTTGAAGCTTCTTCCCGTCAAGCAACTTTAAAGCAGCTCTTTTGAGGGCAAATTCCACAAATTTCTTGTCATCTTAAAGCATCCAACAATCTTAGAAGTCACCCAAAAATATTGATTAGTATTAAATCGCCTTACTGACGAATGCGTCCCAAATGTATTCGACAACTTGATTGCATTATTAAAGTGCTATGTTTCGTTCATTGAAAAGATCAATCAGATCCATAATTTAATATAAACTAACTGGGAATTTTACTATTATGAAACGAGAAATTTATTTCCGAAACATACTTGTCGAATTAACGAGGGCGGTAAACCAACACATATTTCAGAAATAAATTGCAGACATATACCGGATATATTTCTCATGTACTGTACAGTGATTTTTAAAGCAAAAATGGTATTAGAAATAATATTTCCGACAACATTATACTTCCTCTCCGCAAAAAAAAAAAAAAACCAATCAACAAAAGGTTTCTCAATGTTGAAAATCTTTCTCTCTCTCTAGATTTTCCAAAAGTACAGCACATATAGAAGCAAAAGAAAAAAAAATTCCAGCAACTATTTGCAATCATCTTTCATCAGTCTTTTGAGCAACACATTTGCACAAAATGAGAAATATCTATGTCATAGATACCGGCCAATTAAGACAATGACCAGCAAGCATAGCTCTTTTAGTAGTTTGAAAAGCATTTGTTAACAAATCTGCTCCTCCTTTAACGCGACAAACTGTGGATGAGGCGTATGGATCAAATATCGAAACTTGATGCTGCTCATATTCATTACTGAAATAAACAGAGTCCTTAAAATGAATAAAAATGAGAATTTATCAACTGAAATTTCTGAATGAACAGCTACGAAAAAGAAGCTACATCGTTTGCGCTTAAATCAGTGATACTTTACAAACTTGAAACTTCACTTGAAAATTTGAATATTTTTTAACACCTATAATCTATTAAAATTATTCGAATAAACTTATCTATGCCAATTTTAGTGTAGTTTTTCTACTGAACCTTCATTTATCTTCATAGGAATTGAAAAAGTGAAAAAAAGAAAAAACATGCACACTACTTCGTAATAAAATCTAAAGTGAAACTATCTCAAAATTCATCTCACGAAATCACCCGTTGATGAAACTTCAAAAGATTTGAATTTCAAGTGAGCAATAAGGAAGTATTCGACATTATTATAAGGAAAGAAACACGCTACGGGAGAGTTCTTTGAGAAAAAGAAACAAACACCTTACCCGAATTGGTTCTTTTCGGTAACAGTAGCATTGCTTAGATGAAAACTGGTATGATTGAAATCATGTTTTGCATAATGACTAATAAACAGCAATATTAATTCTGCCACATCTGGTTCTTGTCTTTCTTTGAAATCCAAATCTTTCTAAATTCATACTGTAGTGTAAAGAATTCTAACCAGGAGATATCCACTTTTAATTTAAGAAATTATGATCCAAAACTAAATCAAGACAATAAAGGAAAAGGAATTTGAAAAGAAACATACAGGTCTCCCATATAAAGATAATGCTACCCGTTGGATTGGTAAGGTAGGCCTCAAGTTGCCTTTGAATTTTTTGCATATAACTGGTAGAATCGGTTGAATACCATAAGAACCAGTGCACTGTAAACAAAAAAGTTGAAGAATGACTAACCACGTTAAGCGTTTTTCGGAAATACATTTAAACTTAATATTTATCTTTTCTATCAACCCTAAAACGACATAAACAATGAAAAATGCAACAGCAGATGGGCCAAACAGAAGTCTAACTGTTTGAAATGCAAGCCTTCCGAAAGATCCTGTAAGCATGTACAAAGTTCGACAAAAGAAAGCCGCAGAAAAATATGCTGTACAGGCAGTACAGTCCTGTTCAAAATCTTATATTCTGTTAACAAAAATAACATTGATATACCTGCAAAAAATGTAGAACCAACATCAACACGTGATAGGTGGAAAATAAACCATTCTTGCTGTCCTTCAATCGTTGCGATTCCAGCCATTTTTGCGCCCACATATTCAACAAGGCCACCCGTCCATCATACTAAATTCAAATTTTACTAAGATACAAAATTTCATGATGCATCAGAAGCAAAGTAATAGAATTTTAAGAAGGATACATACCTTTTTATTAAATTCGCATGTCCATTTCGTTTCTTAAAAATACAAGTAGTTTTTTAGCAGTGTAAGTTAGGCAAGAAATGAAAGTTGCAATTTCATACCTGAGCACAATATCGAACAAAGCAGGTGTTTCTAATTGATGCATATTTTTCGAATTGAATATCAACTTGCATATGTTTCTGCGTTTGTAAATGAAGAATTGGTACTCGAGCAGTGTGAATAATATCTGTCTGAGACCAGTCGAACTCCTTACATAGAGAAGATTCTTCAATTCTGGTTTTTACTTCTGTCATAAATGTCCTGCAAATAAAGGGTAAGTTTTCAACAGTAAGTCAAAAATGACGACAAATCTTATTCAAATATATGTTTAAGTTACTTAGTACATAACAGGATATCAAGTGATCCTTAGCATTCAGTGTTATTATAGAAAAAGTGCAGAACGTAATTATATTGTACGGCACTTGTAATAGTACATTTCACAATAAACAGTGACAAAAGCTGAACCTCAAAACGGTTTCGAAACGCATACCGCCTAAAATTTTCCTTGGAGAGTAACCGCAGTAGTCTTTCACGTTGTTTTTCATCAGTCGTTGACAAATAAACTAGATCGATATCTGATACGCCACTAGCAAGTCCTGAAGCAGTTGAACCTACGGGTACAAGATACTGGCCGTGATTACGTGCTAAGATCCGACGTAAACCCACAACGATATTGTTTCGATACTGAAGAGTCTGAAAAAAAAAAAGAGTTCATGTCTTATCGCCTTTTATCCTGCCCACCTAAAAAGTAAGAGCGATTCAAGCTAAGAAGAACAATGAATTCATTACAAAAAGCGCTGCAAAAAATTATAGCTACAGGCTTGGAAATACTGAAGAATCCGAAGGTTTTAAAAATTACTTGAATTGTACTAACCATACAAAGAAATAACATTCTTTGTATAACATAATTCTAAATTTCAGGTACATTTGATGTACATGTCAGTTTTTGATAGAGAATATGCAGAGCTCTACAACGGCTGATTGGCAGGTGTATTTCGTTAACAACCTGCGAATAAACATTGATTGGTGTTTGGAGGTGTTAAAAAATTATTAAATTCAAAATTTAATGAAATCACCCGCAGGTAACTGTTGTGCCGTTGAGTCGTCTCTTCTCTAATAAGCATGGACAATCGTTGCAACTCCTCCTGATGCTTCTGTACCATAAATTCCACAAAACTATCGCATACTGAGAACTTTCTCCCACTGATCTTTTCTACGACAGTTGTTGAGGAAGTTGCCTGTTGACTTTTAGCACTGTTGTGTCGAACTTTTGTCCGAACTGGTTGTATTGTATGACAAACAGCATATAATCGTAAAACACACGTTTTCATTAGCAACTATAGCGATTAACCGGCCGGAAAACAAATCTATGATCAATAACGCACCATTAAAAGAAATTTAAATGTCTAAAATAGGAGACCAACTTTGACTCGGAATTTCCATTCCTTGAGAAATTCCGTGGCAATTCCTTTCGATTCTCTAATCAAATGTAATTCTTTACAACTTTATTGTCCGCCAACTAAAATAGCTTTGTGACTTTTATATTCCTACTTTTAAGCTGCATCTCCAGCCAGACTAATCCGATCCTTCACATCAAGGAAATGCTCTACCAGTGAACCATACTGAGAACCAAAAGATCGTAATCACACTTATCAACGCAAAACAGAAAGCCAAGTAGCAATTCGTAGGGGATACTCCCCTTCTCTCTTTTTCAACACTGTGCGTGGGAACATTTACTTGTTCTACTTTAAAAATGATAATCCTTTTATTTTTCTGCTCCATACGTGAGTGTCCTATTCTGATAAGCTATTTACCCCACCCTATATGCTAATAATGGATTCTTTGAAGCAAACCATTTCATTTACTAAATTGAGTAGTATTTTTGTATCCTTCATGTGGAACAATTTCGAAAAGAAATGCACGGCAGATCGTACTACTGACTTCGCTCATCTTTCATTCAGTTTCCAGCATATTTTAAATTAGATTTGAACTTTATGTTTTATACTATATATAACTTATGCAATTTATACATTTCAAAAAGATAAGACAAGATTATTTTAGGCATATTCCCATTGTACAGAAGCAACTTTCTTTAGACTACAATTAATTTTTTAAAAGAAGCATTTACCTACTGCGACTTAATAATTTTCAACAAGCTTTATGGAAATCAAAGGTTCACTTTGTCGAATGCTTGATGAATTCTATCATAACTGTTTATGATACAATGCACAGTGGCAAATAACCGAATAGAAAATCTAAAAAAACGTTTCCTCAAAATGCACAAACAAGACAGAAGAATCCTCTAATAAATAAAAGACTACTACGGTCTACTAAACAATCACGAATTAAATATGTTAGTCAGTGAATGTCATGAAAGTATTTACTATGAAGAAAAAAGGAAAAGTAATAAAAATCGCATTTTGGCACCTTTTAGGATCAGATGGCCCGTAGAATGAAGTCCAAATATTTTTCACAAAATAATAAACTTCTGCAATATAATAATTGAACAGTATGGACCAAACTTCCTGAAACTTACTAATAAACTGAACTAACCCGGGAACTTTTTACAAGATATCTTAGCATTCCACTGCAGAAAAATTGGATCAAATCTGTGCAACATGGCCATATTTTTTTTGGCATGAAATTTAGGAATCGGAATCCATTACCTATACAATTCGAGAGATCTCTTAAAAAAAGCATTTCCATTTAAATGTTTCGTTTTCTTACTTATTGGCACTGAATTTACAATGGAACAAAATCTTTTACATATCAGTCCAAGTATCGTCAAAATAAGAGTCGTTGTACAAATGTACCGATGATAGCAATAAGGACAAAAGTTAGAATTTCAACATAAACAACAAATCTGAGGCGAAAAAGACCTAATTCACGAAATGCTGCATGAAAGCATATAAATCATAGATGATGTGAAAATATCGAACTATTACTCATAATGCTTTGGCTTTAACCTTTCCTGGTGAAAGATAGCTAGAGCCATTTTTTCATCTCCATCGCTGCTCTCATATTACTCCCCAGCACATCCATAATAGCGTTTCATTCACGGATAAATCACGACAGATAAAATCGGCTACGGCAAACAAGAAAAAAGAAGTAAACAAGAAAGTCCAGTTTACCAAATTTGAGAGATCTATTTCTTTTCGACAACAACAAAATAGAAGCACTGCTGCTACTGAAGACAGTATAGGAATCAAATATTTTCCAGTACCATTTTCTTGTGAACTTCAGTATGTTCCACAACCTAAAAACATATTAACAATTATTCACCCTCAAATTCGATAGTTTATGAATGGTGAACATTTCTAGAATTCAGAGGACCTAAAAGATGGTGCGTACAAGCACTAGGATGGTTGGCTCATAATCCTGGGACAGAAAACATGGCAAGACGTCACTAGCCGTCCAAGGGCATTATAATAGCTTCACAAACTGCAATAAAGAAGATCTGAGATACCTTAATCGTCTTGATAAACAAAAAAGGTAATATTTCATTAAGCATTAAGCATTCGACATCAAGAGATAATCACTAAAGCTCTAAGCTGAACTGACAGTCGTTTACTCCATTTTAAAATGCAATAAAACAAGACGTGAAATGATGTCATCGATTGAATCAAAATGGTCGGTAAATATCAATAGAACGACAGGAAATTTTTAAAAACAATCACCTGTAACGAATTAAAAACGAAAATTATAAGGAATTAACATATAAATTAGAAAATTGAAAATTACATCGCAGAACTCATCGAATGATATTTTACCGTCGCCATCTTTATCATGAAATAATATTGTTTTATCAACTATTTGCTGCAGTTGGTTATCTTTTAAATTGTTTCCCACCATCATTTTTAAAACCTAAAACTTTAAATGGTTCACTATTTGAGCGAATAATAAAAACTTTATAATAATGCTTTTTTTTTCCTGTTGACATCGATCAATAATCAGATCTTGGAATTACGAATGATATTTCTTCCCATAGCTCGCTTTTTTCTTAACAGAAGGAAAACAATGAACAAAATGACTAAACATATGAAAGAAAAGTTTCATATGCCAAGTTCTACTCCACATTTCAATCAGCAGCACACACACTGAATAGCATTGGAAATCCAGTGGAAAAAAAACAATAAAAAAAAAAGAAAAAAGGTAAACAAGGCAATTATAAGGAGGTGGAGTTGGAGTTTCAAGGAGACAGTAGCAAGGAGATAGAATTCATTGCAAACTCACCAAACATGGATGTGGTGCGTTTAAAGTGCCAAATTTTAAAATCAACATTTTGAAAAACTTTGCTAAATTAACTGCTAATAAGACTTACTTGAAAGAGTTCTCCATTCGAGATATATCCATCCCGATCCATATCATATATACGAAATGCAACTACAAATAAATATGGCTCAAAAATATCAATGTTGAGAATAGTTTGAAAATTTGAAAGAGTGTTCTAATCATCTTTTAGGCTTTTTATTACTATCTTCCTTCCAATTTATCATTTAAAAATCAAAGCAATCCTAGTCGATCTTGCTTCAGTAAGACCATTCATTTACAGGTATTTGTAAAAAATTTCCTAACACCAACTTCGTTTTTGCATTTTTTGTACAATGAATAAAATGTTTTTAATCTGATTTTTATAGGAGTATAATGGCTCAAAACATGGTTCTCTTTAACCGTATTCCTAAAACTTTAACTTTTGTAGTACAGTACGAGAATCCGTTATTTTCTATTAATCCCTTTTCAGCAGCCAAGAAAAGCTCAAACTGGAAATTTTGAATATGACCGCCAGTCGGTCTTTCCCAAAGGAACTAAAGGCACAAACTATCATGATATATGCTGAGTTCGAATGATTATACGCGGAAATATTGGTACCTTAAAAGGCATTGAGATTTTGTTGGATTTTGGTACTTGTTATTCCATACAGCACAGAAATTAAAATTACGCAATACAACAAAACTTACATTTGAGCTTCACTGTTTTGTCTCCTTTAACACTAAATTGTGATATTCCCTGAATGAATTCTGAAAATAACGTACTGTTATTGAACCCGTTTTATAAAGCGAAAAAAAAAAAAAAACCGATGAAAAGTAAATAAACCTTGAAAGTATACGAATTCAATAATTCCACATAAAAAATAAACATTAAACCTCTGAAATCGACTTCCCCATCACCATCTTCGTCGAATATATCAATAACTCTTTGGACCAATGGATTCTGTTGCAATTCTGGCAATGACATAAATTCGTCAACACTCAAACTTCCGGAGCCATCCAAATCCAATTTTTTGAAGCGTCGTGCTAGGCGCCGCAACTCATATGCATCAACTGCAAATAAAATTAAGAAAATTTGCAAAAAATGGCTTGTGCAATCAAAAATTAATGGAATTATTTCAAAAGTAAGTAAAGTAAACGGTTACGTAGTGTGAAAAATAAATGAAGTAGATATATAAATATAAAGCATTAAAAAAGCGTTATATAAAGCATTAAAAAAAAAATTCATATGTTGCCCTCCTATTAAATCTAATCCATACAATTCATGGTGATGCAACAGGAAAAACTAAAGAAAGGAAGAAGTTATCAATGGAGAGTTTGAAGCATATGATGTGGCATCTAGCCTGCTGGGTAATTCAAATCAAACGGTACGAATCACGGAAAGCCTGGTTGGTTTGTGTGTTTGGTACCACAGTTTCTTTTTTTTTCTTTTTTAGTAATTTATGCATGATCGTATGCCACAAGTAGTATATCAAGGATAGCTGTCTTGTATGACTCCCACCGTTTTAATAGTGGCTCCTCTTAATTAGCGCCCCGCTGCTGAAGATACAGAAGGGAATGAATATTTTGGTAGTCAACAATTGTTTGCCAACACCATTTAAGGGGTATGAATGATTAAGATACTAACATAGTGATGGAAAGAATACTAGTTCAGAATAGAACAAAGGTTAGACCAACATTTCAATTCAACTGCTATTTTTTGTTTTAAATTAATGAAAAAAGACGAACGACTTTGCAATTCAGAAGAAATAAACTATTAGCTTTGTGACTGCAGCAAATATATACTAGTAAACAAATACTTGAAGGAATTTGAGGACAACTTCCAAAGAACACGAAGAAACGATTTAAGTTGATAAAAAAGACAAACTTACAGTTGCTGCACATTTCCATCGGTAAAGATGATTCATTTCCCTGAAATACGACGTCATGAATTTCTGCTTACAGTAAAAAGCTTGCTAAAATTGATAACCTTAGTAAGTGGAACAGTACTGACAAAAACAATTATTAATCATTTATTGAGAAATTGTTTCTTATCTCATGGTTTTAAAAGACTTTTGAACATAAATGCAAGTAATGTTCATTCATCGAAAACTTTCAAGATATCTCCCTGTGAGTTATAAACTTTTTACAAATCAATTTGATCCCACCACGACAGAACTCATCAGTGTGAAATAAGAAATGACAAGCAAAGGTGGAAAGTTTGAAATCATCCACTAACAGCGAGCTGGGTGGGTATCTCGAAGCATCTTGAGCTCTCGACAAGTCTAGGGCAGTCGATAGCAGAT